AAGCATAATTCTTTCAGCGTAGGCGGTAGTAATTTCTTGACAAAATATCGTGTTTCAACAATTTCTGATTCATAAACATACACGCAGAGATATTTGACGGTGATTTGTTGCAACATTCGACATTCCTGATATAATGGTTTACTGCTCAGTGACAGAAGTGAGGGCGGTAATGTCAGTTTGCACAAACATCTCAAATTACCTTAAAATTAAATTGCACTGATTAACTTTTAGTTATTCGTGCATAATTGTTAATTGTGTGCAATGCTTGGTAATATTTAGCATTGCACATGCAAACTATCAAAATATGCAAGATTTAATTGAACGGTGTTTACGAGATGAGGAAGTCAGTTGGATTACGGCAGGTGTATACCTGTTAACACCGGTTCTCCTCCTCTCACTATTATCAGTTTGATAACTGACATGCATTATTTAATTCTAACTTACACAGCGCTTTCAGATATATTGCGCCATCGGGTGTATGTACAAGCGCACCCATAAGGCATAAATATTTTAATGAATTTGAATATTTCTCGGAGATCGTTTCCATAGCCGCTGCGGTTAACGACACGCCCTGTACAGTTATTTCTGTCACCTACTTCAATTTTACTTTCCTACATTTACTTGCAAGTTATCACATCATTCACGGAACTTTCCTTCAGTTTTATTTTTTTGATGACTTTTAAGTCTTTTAAAATTTAAAAAATATGAATTTCACAATCTTCTGTAACCTGTAACTTTAACATTTTAATAGCATTTGCTTTCAAATTTTCTGCATGTTCCTCATGCATTATATTCATTGCTTTGCGCGGAGTGTCGAATCGTTTCAAAATGCGCAATACGACTAATTTCTCAAGTGAAAATATTGCTTTGATTTTGTCATCCAAGTTCGATTCCCTGCAGGGGAAAAGCCGATTAATTAAATACTACTGTAAGACATAGCATAAGAATTGTCAGCAGACTGATGGTAATGAAGGAAAGTGAAGCAACTGTTGGTGATTTGGCCACTGAATCGGTATATGATGATTCAGTGGTTGACATTGTGAACTGGATCATTGTTATCAGACTAGTAATTGTGTTAACATCCAAAAAATACAATTTCACTGATTAATTTGAGGTAACAAATGATTTAAAGTTGCATTTTCAGATGATTTAATCACAAATTAACTTATGGAAAATGAAGAAGATTTTAAGCTTTTACTTATCAAAAATATCACACGGTAGAGTAAGTTCTCGAAGATTTGATAAACAGCCGAAAGCTGTTACAGGAATTGTGCGAATATGGTCTATGCAACTGATCACAAGCTTATGTATAAACGGAGAACTGCGAAGTGCGCTCGCTAGTTTATTAACGTCCTGAATAAGACTGTTTCAGTCAGATTAAGCGTTTTTGTTCAAATGGAACTATTATAGTTTGTAAGACGTGAAGAATAAACCGTACCGAATGAGAACGATGCAAACGTCATATTAAATGAATAATGTTTGTGAAACTTACCTTATTCCTTGTGTTGTGTATTTCAAATATGTGGCGATCAGAAGCGATAACAATGCCTCCTTTATGTGCCGTAATGCGGTTGGTATCACTCCACTATAAAAGTTCCAGAGAGGTAAGTTAGCAGTTATTGAAAGTTTTTAAATTTCAAATTCACGTTTCATACTTGGAATTATTTAAAGTCATTTATGGTTAGTAGATTAGCGCCAGCGGATAGCAACAGACCGGGTGTAATAAACTATAAAAATGTTTATTGATAACAGAGAATCGAGCCCTTTCTCTAGGCGCAAGCTGCTCGAATATTTCCGCAATCGTTTCATCTGACAGTACTCCACAAAACTTTCCGGAGAGCAATTTTTTATCACTACCGTACGGCTTCATTTTACAAAATAAGAATGGAAATTTGAAACTATCAAATGCTTTTAAAAAATTAGCAATAACCATCTTTCTTTTGTCTTCATTTAGTTATGCTCTCCAGAAATTGTATCGATTTAAAATTCCATATTGACATTGCGGAATGAAATTAGCAGGCGCAACTTGCAAAATGACTTTCAGAACTCAAAAAGGAAATATTCGGCTTACTCTTAGGAAAGCTGCTATTAGTTAACACGTTTCCAGTTTATTGTACCAGCTGGTCACTATTGTATTGATACTAATCTACCGGTCATAGCTGACTTTAAATAATTTGAATTGTTTTAAATTCTCTTTAAAATGTAAAATAAAAATGAATGAAACATGTGTTATAAGCAAAACGTATGCAAAAATTAGTGTGACTTGCGGTTTGACTTATTGTTGAGTTTATCCTGAAGTTGATAAAAAGATCAACTTATCAGTTTTTACGATTTCCTGTTGTGCACACTGAAAAATTTAAGCGATCACAGCGAATGATTTTCAAGGCAATTTTTTCAAATTCTCAGATGAAAGCATAAAATTACGAAGAAATGATATAAAATTATGGTCAAAGAATATGACAAAGAGAAGCCAAATTGGCCCCATTGATCAACGTTCCAATCGCCTAAGTGCAAATACTTTCTCATCCGTTGAAGCCTAAGGCTCTCAGTTTACATTAGAATTCAACAAATATTTAATGACACTAATAAAGAGATTGACAAAAAATGAGAATAAAATAATTTAGGTAACTGATAAAAAGCAATAAATATTTAAGCTAAAAATTGAATACAAACAAAAATTTTAAACTCTTAATGACTGAAAGAAATTTGTTGTCTTGGTGCAGAAGACTTACTTTTAATGTTATTTTGTGATTAGAAGAAAATGAATTTTAATTTGATAGGATCAGCTTTCTCACTTTGAACTGCAAGTTTAATTCTCACTGAATTGAAAGTGCTGTCAACTTTAGTGGATTCTCTAAAATCTTTTTCCTTTGTGGCAAAAATGAAGCTTAAAATTTTAAGCAGGCGTAATGTTCGCTTGTTTTCTCTTTATTGAATTCATTTCAAGTTTTATGAAATTGATGTTATATTATGAGGAAATAAATATATACTGAGTGTAAAAGTGATATGAAAATTTGTGCGCAGCGAAATTCAGCAATAGGGCATAGCGAAGAGAGACGTCCCAATTTCGTTGTCAATTCTTCAACTCCTCCACCGCTCGACTCATTCTTTTGAGAGATTTATTTCTGATAACTTTTAAAGTTTCTTAGAAAGCAAAATTATTTTAAAAAACAACGAAATGTAACGGAATGCACACATTCTTTCTCCTCATTTTTAGCTCATTTCTCTCCGCTTCTATTTCAAGTTCATTTATCAAATTATTCTCTGTCTTTATCATTCTTGTTGTTGACAATCTTTGTCCTTCGTTTCAAAAGAGTTTCTTCAATTTTAAATA